CCCCAAAACCCCAAAACCCCAAAACCCCGTCTAATATAAAACAAAAAATATCATAAATCAGTTTAATATAAATCCTTGGCTGATATTATTAAAATTAAATCTTGTTTAAAATGGAATCTCAAATAATGTTGCAAGAGTCGGATGTTAGTGCCAGGAAAGCAACAATAATATAAACTTAGTCCAAAATTGAGTAAAAGCCTCTAAGAGAGCTCATTTAATAATCTGAGGTAATTGAAGTGAAAATTGGCTAAATAATTGAGTGTATGTTATGTTCCAAGATTTTGTTTGATCCAGTTCAATGCAGAAATTGCTAAACTTGCTTTTGCTAAATTTGCACAAAAATCTGGCTTGGTGAAGGTAATAATAAGTGCCCAAATCTTTGTGCTTATGACATGACATAGTTGAGTGAAGTTAATCAGTAAAATCTAGAAATGACATAACTTCAAGGTTGCAAATATTAAAATTGTAATTTGTACAAGCAGCCTATAACTTATCAAAATCTAAAGGATCATTATCTCTTGCAATGTGAGGAATAAGTTGTTTAATGCCCACTTAATTGTGGTTAAAAATTTATCAGAAAAGAGAGATTTAGTCATATACTCACTTGCATAAACTGTAAAAAAAAGTGTCATGACTGTGGTTATGAGTTCAAGGAGAACATAGATGACAATGACTTTCATGATTGTTACAAATATCTGAATGATAAAATCCAGTACTACAAATAAGGATATTCAAAGATTGAAAAGGAAATGTACAATTATAAGTAAAAATCAGAAAATGATAAACTACTTTTGATGTTTTCTGATAGATTAGCTAAGTATGATCCAGAGTATTTTTAAACAAATATTCACATCAATCCGATAAGAAAAATTAGATTTGGAGAACTGAAAACGATGAGAGAATGGTTTTGTGATGGTAAAAAGATTAAAAGGTGCAGTTCTCATTACTAAAATGAGTTATAGAGAGAGAATTACTAGCACTATGTATATCATTGTGAGTAGTGCGGTTTTGATTTTTGTCAAGAATGCTATTCTCAATAGGGGAATAAACATCACCACCCACTTGAGAAACTAACTTTTGGATAATTAATATAAAAAAATAATAATTACATTTAAGGCTATATTTGTGATGGGAATAAACTTTAGACTTGCAAATACCCTCACAAGCCGCATACTGATCAACTTGAAATATTGTACTATGATGAAGAATAGGACTTCAAACTTTGCTATTTCTGCTTCACTACACATGCTATTTATGAAGATGACAATGAATGATTTCAGGCTGATGATTATACTACGAAAATAAATCATAGAAAGTAGTTGTTGACAAAAACTATTTGATGATTTAATTTTAATTTCTTAATTTCCAGATATTTCTAGTATTGTAGTCTTAAGGGGTTTTGGGGTTTTGGGGTTTTGGGG